TCATTTTTGCAACTTAAAATCAAATAAGAAAATATCCTAAAACTTAGCCTTCTACCAAAGTGATTTTTTAATACTATGATAAAATCAAGCCTAAGTCATTAGTACTAGTGATTATCGTGGTGCAAGGTCTACTGCTCAAGCAAATTGGCTAGTGGATTCTGGTGCCTCTTATCATGTTACTTTCAATCTACGAAATCTAAACCTTTCTTTAAAATATGAAGGTCATGAAGCTCTTTATATTGGTGATGGTTATGGTCTTCCAATCACTCATACTAGTTCTGCTATCTTAAACTCTTTATCTCATTCTTTTAAATTAGATAATATCTTGTGTGTTCCTAAAGCAAATAAAAATCTCATTTCAATTTCACAATTTTGTACTTTTAATAAAGTTTTGTTGAATTTTTCCTACATGTTTCTTGGTAAAAGACCTGTACATAGGGAAAGCACTTGTTCAAGGCCTGAATAATGATAATGTGTATGAGTTTCCAACGTCATAACCTATTTTACAACACTAACATTAGCATCAATTGGAGTCAAAACTACTTCATATGTTTGGCATCAATTTATGGAATTAGTAATCCATCTTCTTATGTTCTTTATCAAGTACTTATCATTTACCTTGCTTCACTTTCATATTCTCTTAATTATGTGATTCATGTTGCTGCAATAAGAGTCATAGACTCCTATTTCACTGCAAGAAAAAAAAAATAGCAATGGAACTTTCCATTGCTAAAAGTCTTTTTATTGATGAAAATGAGTTTTAGTGATGGGAATTTAGCGACGAAAATTTCGTTTGCTAAAACTCTGCCAGAAAATGACAAGTCAATAAAAGTATTCTATCGCTAAAAAATTTTTACTGGTAATCATTAAAACATTAACGATGGAAAATTTTGTTACTAATACTATAATTTTGTCGTTAAAAAATTTTCCATTTTAACTTAATCGAAGAAATTCAAAATAATATTTCATCATTAATACTTTTAGAAATGAAAACTCTGTCACTAAATGTTATATTTTTGAAATATTTTACAAAATTAAAATTCACAAATCCATTACTAACACATATTAGCAACGGAATTTCCATCATTAAAATATATTTTTTTATTGCTAATGCTTAGTAATTTTGCCATAATTTGAAGACTGATCCTTATTCTTAGAGGATCAATCCTTCCCTCAAAAGGATTGGTCCTTTTTTTTTTAACTATTTAGTCAAATTTTCAATCACAAACTCAATAAAATCATTCATATAAAATTATACAAATATATAATATTATAATTCAATATTCAATCACGGATAAAAATATAGCAAATACTAAATATAATAAATAAAATAAAATAAAATATATAACTTAGAGGTTAGTAATTCGAGCTACTTATACAAAAGAGTTTAATGGCAAAACCACATATATCTAATGTAAGGGTAAGATTACTTATAAGGCAATTTAATGAAAAGAGATCCTAAAATGTAAGAATAAAATGTTCCAATAAACTAATTCTAACCTTTCTATACCTTAAGAAAACTTTACAAACTAATTTCACTAGCTAGCTAACTTACAAAATAAACATGTCTAGTGAACTAGTTAATCATCACCAACTTGCAAAGATTAAGAGAAAAAGTAAACATTAAAAACGAAAAAAAAAAGAGGTAAAGCCACAGTTTCACAACTTATAATCCACAAATTTCATGTAAATTTCACAAATTCCCACAATAATTCAATACCAATTTTATAAATTCAACAACAATTACAAATTCACAACTTTCAAATTAATAACTTCCACCAAATTCATAACTTCAAATCCATAAATTTCAACAATTTCACAACTTAAAATCCACAAAATCCATGCAAATTGCATATTTTCTGCAATAATAACATGTCAATTCCATAAACTCAACAACAATTACACATTCACAATTGGTAAAAGCAACCCTAATTGTGATCTAATTATGAAAAATTAAAATTAAGTTGTACACAAATTTACCAAATTGTTATTGGCTTGTATCAAAGATATTGTATATTGATAAAACCTACAAAATTATAATAAAACAAATTAATTGACAAAATTAATAAAAATAATAATATAAATATTAATACAAAAAACTTTATACCAAAATAACAAAAAAAAATACTAATCAATATATGATTAATGGGTTTGTTTAGGGTGGAGTAGTGAAGGAAAAGGAATGAGAAAGTGAAGAGAATAGGAATAGAGAAATAAGGTGATAGAAGAGGAAAAATAAGAGGAGGAGAACGAGAATAGAGAAGGGTGAAGGGGGTAATTTGGGCCAAATTTGGATTAAACCGATTGTGAGAAGACTCTAATGGCCAATGAGAAACAGGAACGGCAGATGGCTTAATGGGGGTGCAAGGGGGGTCAGGGGAGAGGAGAAAAAAAGAATGGATAAGAGAGAAGAAAAAAGGGAACGAAAAAAAGAAAAAAGGAAAAAACATTTAAACCCTTAAAACTTTTATTTATGGACTTTTAGAGACAAAATTTCTATCACTAAAACCATTAATTCCGTCAGTTTTTTTTTTTTTACTAATTTTCCCTATTCGTTTTAAAATTTTTGTGTACACTGGTCTTTTAACGACAAAAATTTCATCACTAAAACCCTTAATTCATCTCTAAAAGTCTTGTTTATCAATATGTGAATTATATTTATTGAAAGACAATTATTAATGAATTTTTTGTCGCTAATTTTGGTGCGAATAGTTAACAGTTACCAGTTAAAAATTAGCGAAGAAATTAGTGATGAAAAATTCATCTGTAGGTAATAATATGGCACTAGCGATGAAAATCTATTACTAAAAGTTGTTTTGATTTAGGCCTAATTCTGTTGCTATTGTACAAAAATGCCATCACTAAAAATCACAATTAGTGATGAAAAATTCATTTAAAAATTTTCCATCGATAAAAGTGTGTTTTCTTATAGTGTTTACATTTCTAATTTAGTTAGTAGAGCTCCATCATATCGTATTTATATAGATGTTTTAGGTCCTACCAACATTTCATCTATTAATTCTTTTTTTATGGTTTTAAATAATATGTTGTATTTGTAGATCATTACACTAGATATATCTGGTTACATCCTATGAAAAAAGAGTCAAATGTTCTTGTTTCGTTTTCAAAATTTAAATTCAATCATTTATCTTTTAACCACTTGTATATAAATAGATCACAAAAGTCAATGAAAATTCAAGAGCTTTTCAATAATAACTTCTTGTCTTTTTTATTTCTTACTAGGCACTACATTGTATATTCCAAAAAGTATCAAGACATTGTGGCTTTGATATCACTTGTGGGCAACAAACAAACTCAATTAACCAAGCAACTTAAATTTTACTTCATAGACAAAACATAGTTGCAGCTTTCGGCTCACCAAGTTGCAATAACAAAACCCTTGTCTTTACAATTGGCAGCACAAGCTAACCTTTTATACATAGGTAACATAAAGGCTATTATCACTTATAGCCACTCACACAACAAGCAAGTTTAAGACCCAATAAAAATAAGACACATAAGCAAACTAACAAAACTTGGTTTTAATTCCAACATGAAAAGGTTAAAAATCATCAAATTTTGAAGTAGACCTATGGTTTTTTTTCACTCTTTTCATTTGGTGATCTTAATTTCAATAGCTTATATTCGAGGTCTTGGAGGAGTTGATCATTGTAATGGGAAAAGATAGAAAAATTAATATATATTGAGATAGGGTCATAAAGAGACTAGTTATTTGGGGTGTTCATAATTCGATTTTAATTGAATTAATCGATTGAATTGATTTAATTCGATTAATCAGTCGTCATTAAATTAATTTTGATTAGTTAATGAAATTAATTTTAGAAGAATTTTGGTTTTCGTTTAATTCAAGTCGAAAGTTGAATTAATCAAATTAATCAAAATTTTAATTGAAGTATAATATAATCCAAATATAAAATAAAAAATATATGAAAAGAATCATTTAATTTCATAAGTTGTTAGAGTTTTTAATATAATACTTTGGTATTTAAATATTTTTATTGGATAATTTTATTTAATTTACTTAAAATATGAGAAATTAAGAGTTTAAAATAAAATTTAACTTAAATGTATTTATTATTCAGTTAACTGAAAATATTAATTGAACAGATGAAATTAAATTCGATCGGTTAATTTTTTAAATTCATAAATTTATTTTGATTACCGAAAATAAAATAAAATAATTAAGTTAATTAGATTTAAAATTAATCGAATTGACTAAATGAATATCTTACTAGTTGCAATCTAAAATAAGATATCCATTAATTTTTACGATCAATAAAAATGAAAATAAAAATAAATAAAGATAAAAGAAAACAAAGCACAAAAACTTTTTGTTTTTATATTGACTGATGAAAAGGACCTTGATCAAGCAGCCAAGGAAGTTCCAAAGAATAAAACAACACTTTTGTGGGGTTCAGTCTATATCCCAACTTAGATCACAAAAACCTGATAATGAGATCTTGATAGTAACAGTTCCATGTTCCATGGCTAAGCTCAGGGTACAATGATGCCCAGGAAGCCATAAAGCTACACGGGGACCAACCATTAAACTTTCAGCAATGCCCACCTCAAATAATGAGTAGATGCAGCTTAACTTTAGGGCTAGGTAGGCTTGTAACCATGTCCTGAAAATTTCCGTCATCTTGGATTGCTGAAACTCTTGATTAAACGCCTTACATATCGTGCAAAGGACTTAAGGACATGGGGTGTTTGACTGCAATCTTTTAATGGTAAATCATGTTAGCAATCTCTGTAACTATTTACATTATTTCATGGAACTAGTTTGTAGGGCAATAGACCTCTATATGCCCTCTATCACTAAAGCAAACGTCCTTCTGTCAAACCAACCAAATCACTACCAACACCTGCCTAAACACTCTCCATAAACACGAACACTCACCTTTCCCTTTTTAAAGTCACGAGACCCACTGTCCCTTATTGTTCTTTCAATTTGAGAGAGAGAGAGAAGAGTCCAGAGAGGGTGGCAGAGAAACTGATAGAGAACTTTCAAAGCTCCTTTTCTCCACCTTCACTCAACTAGCCTCTATATTGCAGTCTCAAACTGAAGTCTTATAATTTTCTAAAGCTTTAGTTATCTTCCCATATGAAAGATTGTTTACCTCATATTTTTCTGTCTTCTCTGGCGGTACCATGTAGGTTTCCCTACATCAACACTTTCAACCCCTCCTTCCACACAGCTGCTCCTTTTCTTCTGCTCTATCTCATTTTCTTTCTCTTTAACCTCCCCTTTTTGCCTCTCCCTCTTCTCCTAATTAATTTTCGTGTGACTCTGTTCATCTTTTTTTATTTTTGCAGGAGACCTGAGAAGAACCCCTTAGACCTCAATAACTTGCCCGACGACTACACTAGGGATGGTAAACAGGCCTTTGAAGAAGGCTCCTACTCCGGTATAATATTCTCCTAATTCTGCTCCTATAATCAACTTTCACAAGATAATCTAAGCTTTTTTTTTCCTTTTTTACAAAACTTAATACAACTACCACAACGATAGTAATAAACATGAAAAACCTTGAAATAAACACAACAAAGAGAAAAAAAAAGAAAAGAAAATTAAACACTCCCATGGTTCTCCAAGTTTTGAACAGAAAAAAAATGTTTATTCCTTTTCTTCACGCTCTTCAACGCTCTCTATAGAATAGACTAGTTGTGTTTATAAGCTTAAAAAGAGCACAAGGCTCTTTTGAAGCTTTTAAAATGATCAACATACCATATAAAAAAGAAAGCAGTGGAAAGGCGAGCAAGAGATTGAGGGTTTTAATCATTTTTTTTAAAAGTATTTATACACGATTTGGGTAAATTAGGGTTCGGGTTTTTGGTCAAGAATGGTCTCTTCGAAGTTGCTTTAATTGGTGTTCTCTGAAGCAGGCTATAGGAAAAAGAAAAGCGGCGCTAAGGATGGGAAAGATGAGTGCGGGAAGGTCTATGAATGTAGGTTTTGTTCCCTCAAGTTTTGCAAATCACAAGCTCTTGGGGGACACATGAACCGCCACCGACAAGGCAAGTCATTCAGTTCTTTATACCACATATGTTTTGAAGTGGATTAGCCAAGTCACTATCTTTATTTTACTACACACACACACACTTAGGGAATCGTCAGAGGTTGTTATAATTATAACTATAATGGCTTTGCCCTTGAAGCGTAGTCATGTCAATCTTGATGAAAACTAAGTTGGTTTTGTTGCTGAATTTCTTGGTCTGGTTTTTCATGTTGATGAGTACTTTTGATTTGATTTGCGTTGTTGTTGGGTGGTCAGAAAGGGAGACAGAGACACTGAACCGGGCTCGCCAGCTGGTCTTCAATAGCGATAACTTGGCCACCCAAGGGCATCTAGGGTATGTTTCTTCAAGATTGACATCGATATTTTCTTCTCATCCTTTCCATCTTCTTCATTTTGGGGTTGCTTTAACTGAACTCATTGAGAAATCAAAGGACGGAGTAGAAATATTAGTACCCACCCACGTACACTTGATTTCAAGATCTTGTAAGAAGAGAGCCATTTGATGGAGTTAATTTAAGCTACTTATAAGTTAACACTGATGCCGCCTCATCATGATCATATTATTTCTAAACTTTCTACTTATTATATTGAGCTAATTAGGAAAAACATGAAATATTCCAATCATTGCAGCTGTCATCCAAGCTACCATCCAGGAGGTAACGTTGGTGATCCAATACTACCATTCAGATCAGTTTACCCACAAATATTGTTCTCTGGTTCTTCATCAACGCTAATGCCACCACCATTACAGCCACCGCAATCATATTTACACCCATCACCGTCACGCCTCAGCTCCTACACTTCTCAATACCCAACTCACTCTATCAACGACTACTATGTAGGACATGTCCTCGGAAACAGCAGTTCATCACAATACCCTCACCAAAACCTAAACTACCTTGGTGCACCAGACTCTAACTACACTTGCATTGGGGCACCAGTCGGACAAGGTTTCGGGCCTGGTTCGGGTAGGGGAGCGGACTTGGGTGGATCAGGAGAAGGCGTTGCTGGTGGTAGAGACGTGTCACTAAGCAATCAGGAACAGAGATTGAATTGGGGTAGGAGCTATGCAGGAGTGACACAGCAGCGTTTGGATCATCCTTCAACGATCAATCGATTTCAGGACGGGTTCTAAAAATAGTTTTATTTTTTTCTTCTCCTTTAAAAATTCTTGTTATTATGTTAATGAAGTATTAATCTGGTTTGACACGCCACCCAGAGAGAGAGAGAGAGAGAGAGAGAGAGACTTAACAAACTGACAAATGGGGTCATGCAAGGAAGGAGAGAAAGAGAAGTTTTTGGTTTATGTACAGGGATTGGGCAGCTTTTTGAGCTCATGGACACTCTCAGCTAGTTTGGCTTGGAGCTGCGGGGATTGGAGGGGTTTGAGTTGTTGTGTACCAAAGCAACTGTGAGAAATGGGGACTACAGCTGGGAGGTGAGACAAGAAGTTAGATATGAACTGAAAGTTTCTAACCCCCTTTTTGTATTTGGATTTTTTTTGCATGGCAATGAAATGTTTTTTTTTTTTTTTTTTTGCTCTGTTATGTTTTAGACTTTAGTGTGCTTTTCTTGCAGCCCTCATCCAATTTTGACTGGAGCTGGTGTAGGGAAGGTGGTCCTCTTTCTCTCTCTCTCTCTCCAGAACCATAATTGGGATATTCTTGATTTTGGGGACATTTATGTTTACACCATGCTTGCACAATATGGGCAATGACCTAGAGAGAAGTGGCTGAAACTCTATTGAACACTTTTTTGCTGAGAGTTTCCTGACGAGAAACAATCAGCTCTGTCAAGAAAAGTCTGATATGAGCAATGAATTTGTTTTTCTTCTTACCTTGCGATATTAGCTAATTAAATGAGTGGTATACACTATAGAGTCATGAATACTTCTCTTTCTGGTCCTCCTTTTCTACTTTTACTAATCTCCTCAGCTGTAGCCCTAACTCCTCTCCATTAGAGCACATCTCATCTTTTACTTTACATTTATTTTGTTCACGAAGCTTATAATAATATTTCATTCAGAGCTATAATTTGGCTAATTGAGGAAGGACATGATCTCCAAATTATTAGAGGTTAAACTGCCAGGAAATGAAATCACAAATGGAAACCAAAATCTGATATAGAACAATAAGTTTTATCAATAATTTATCAGTGCAAAATTTCTCCCCTTTGCCTATTTTCCTCGTTAGTTTACTTTTGGCCAACTCCGTTATTTTAGCTTTATGAAGGCCAAAGTATAATTGATTATTCTAATTCATGAAACCATTACTTTTGGGTGCAAATTGAAGAAATAAGAACAGGTAAAAAAACTTTTTTAAAAAATCACTTATTGACTTCCCTTAAACCTTGGCTTGACTTCAGTTGGTTTGGACTGAACATCACTTGTTAACTTCAGTTAGGTGGTAAAGGGCCTTGAGCTGGAATAATATATATAGTCATTTCATTAACCATTTTACCGACTTAAAAGTTTTCTTTGTCTGATATAAGCGTTAGCGGAGGTAATCTTTTTCCATCCATCCCTTTGCGTAAAAGGATTTTTTCTTTCATATTTTGGTTCTTTTATTCACTTCTGGGATATAATAGGAGCGAACCTTTTCCCCACCCCCTTATACATTACAGGCGTATGTCAAAACTAGAACTAAAGACGTCAAGTTTCCTTAGACAATCAGGCGTTCTATATGTCATCTACAACAAAAGCAAAAAGAGGGGAAAAACAAATACAGAAAAAAGTAAAAAATGTACTTCGGATCTTTATAATCACATTTTTTTAAAATATTACTGTAATTATAAATGCTTTTACTGTAAGACGCAGTAGGAATCTAAACTTATTTATGAAGAAAAGTAGGTATCAGCTAGCCTAGCTCGTATGTCACAATATTCTACAGAAACCATGAGCTCCAAATGACCTTAACAACACCAGAATATAGCCATAGTTCAAAAACTAAACTAGATCTAATACTGTTTTAGATCAAGATTGAGTTATCAGTATCCCTCTTGACCAGTTATGTAATTTCCTTACCATTACTTGGGTGGTGGTTGAAGGTTAAATGCTTAAATTGGGATTAAATATTTAGATGGTTATTGAATTTAAGATTAAATATTTTAATTTATTAAATGTTATCAATTTATAATAATTTAGGATATTTTTAACAGAAATTTGCTTATAAAAATTACGTATCATTAAGTTTAAAAACTATTACAGATGAAAATAATGTGGAATTAAGTTTCTCATATGGAATGACAAATGAAAAACCTCTTGCCTTTTTTTTTTCTTCTAAGTCTATTTCATTTCATTTCTTCTTTATCCTTTCTATTTGAAATTAAGCAAACTTAGGGTTTACGAATTGCAAGTTTGTAACCACTCTCTTTCTCATTTTTTAACGTAAAATGTCGAAAATTTTATTTTCAAAGTAGAATCCAAATATAATGTCTGCTTCAAATATGAGTTTATCTAGTAACATAAATTCAAAGTTAGTAAAAATTTCAGGTTCTTATGCTTTGATTTGGGTCAAGAATTTTTTAAATTTATTCTTCAAAATATTAAAATTGCACGATTTTTAGAGGAAGGTTTTATAATATAAACACGTATAAATTAATTTCAACTAATTACCTTATAGAATGAGACTTTGAAGAAGAACTGTAATATGAAGATAGCTAGGTGGATTTCATGGACAAATTGCAATCTTGGTAAAAGATTTTGTGGATACCCATATTATCTGGTAAATTTATGAACAAAATAATTTGTAATAAAATTTATATTTTTTGGCTAAATTTGTTGATATTACTTTAGTGTGATTACATGGCACTGTTTGTGGATTTCATTTATGGTATAGTCCTAAAACTTTTGATAGAGCAAAATAGATTATTTTGGAGTTGAAAAAGAGAGAAAAATTTTTATATGGTCATGTTCAAACTTTGAAATATGAAATTTCAAAGTTGAAGGAAAATGTTGTTGAAGCTGAAGTTATTATAGAGAATATGTAGCAAAAGAGAGAAGTTAGTATTTTAAGGTTGAAATTAAAACAAAGTAGCAAAATTATTGGTGGTGGGCATGGTAAAGGTGGCAACTAGAAAATAATTTGGCCTATCTCCCTCTGTTTTGTACTTTTATTTTGTGTAATTATTTTCAATTCCAAAAAAAAAAAAGGAAACTTAACTTTTATGCTTGATAATGAGTTAGGGATATGAATGATATTTGAAATGTAAATGTTGGATAAAACTCCTATATGTCAATGCCATTTGAATCAATATTATTAATTGTGAATTCAAACTTTTTGATTTTTTTTCTTTAAATGATAGAAGTAATAGAAAATGGTTGTATTTATAAAAGCAATCTAATAATAAAAATGAGTAAAATTGCAATTTGTTCAATTTGCAATATGTTATGAGTAAAGTAATCTAATAACAAAAATGGCTACATTAGAAATAGAAATAAAAATGCACGTTCAACATGGTAATGTCATCATTAAACTACATATAACATGTTTTTACACATAACATTCAGTCAATATAAGTCTAAATAGAAATTGTTCTTAAAACAATAACATAAAAATAGTTAACACAACATAAAATTCAAATTATTCTAGTAGGAACAGTTAACAAAAGTGTTGGTTAGATTATTTGTTTTCCCTTGTTTCCTTTAGAAGCTACAACTTGACTTTCTTGAGTAGTAATTACATCCTCAACAACCTCTTCTTGCTTCTGCTTGTCTCAACTGCTATCATTTTTTGACTTGGTAATCCAAGTTGTTGAATTACATTTATCAAGTTAGAATAGGTAATATTTGATCTAACATCACTAACATTTAAGATTTGTCTCCCTATTTCTAAGTTTTTATATAACCCATAACCTTGCATGTTTTTTGTCTTGCTTTTGGTTAAAGCTCCTGTTGTGTTATTGTCATTATGACTTCTAATACTATTTGTTGAAATTGCTTTCTTCCCGGTGGTTGTTGTAGAAGACTTAGACTTTGATAAAAGACTTGTTTTTTCACCAGTCATCCCATAAAGTCTTCTATCTTCATCTATAAAATATCTTCCTCTAGATGTTGTTGGCCTTTTAGACTCGACTTTTGCATTTTCGATGGCAACAACAAATAGCATTTACTAGATTTGAAACTAGATTTGAAACATGTGCAAGTGCAGTTGCAATTGTAGATGCAAATACAAAATTAAAGATATTAGGTAAAGTATATGCAAATGCCAAACTAAATTTGGATACAGAAGCAAAAGTACTATAAACAGTAGCAGAAGTAGTAGCATAGTTGCTTGGACCACTTGCAATTTTAATAGGATCTACAATTATATTTCTTGTACTTGATGCACTTTGGTCTATGTTTAAGTCTTTAGATCTAAGCACATAAGAATCTTGCTATTATAGAAAGAAAACTAAAAGTTGACTTATCGTTTAGGGTTTATGCATTTAAAAGTCAAATCTAAAAATAGTACAATATTTTTAATAATAAAAAAATAATATGAAATTACCTTGTTGTCTCCCATAAGACAACCTTTTTTGTTGCACCTCAATTGATGATATAGTTGGCATGCCATTATCATGCTATTCCTCAATAGATATATATTTGGACTTGTTTTTCTTGGGCTTATCACGATCCTTTCTTTTATTGGTTTTGGGCTTGCTAGCATCTTTCTAAACTTTAAGGGCAGAACATTTTCTTCCATCTTTAGTTTGGCCCAATCTTTTAACCTAGGCATAAGTTGTAAAGCATTACTATAAGTTTACATATACACTTCCTTATGATACCAACTAGACACAAAATCTTTAATATTTCCACCTAGATCTTTAATTGCACAAATGTTATGTGCACATAGGATACCATAAAGTTGGTACATTCTACAACTACATTTCTTCTTAGCAAGCTAGAAAATGACCTAAATCTATTTCATATCCACCATTTCCATTAAATGCAACTACACATTATGATGCTATAGATGTATTTTTCTATAACTTTTACGATTTTAAGACCAATCACACAATTTCACCTAGAATATTCTTTTCTCTTTTTCCCAATTCTTACCATCAGATTCCTTATTATGTTTTCAAATAAAGAAATCACTGATTTCTTCTTTGCATCTAGTAATGTCTCATTAAATGCTTTACATAAGTTGTTGTCAA